CCTTCTTAGATCTTCTTTCCTCCTCCTTTTCTGCTTGACCACCTAGAAAAAGTCCAAGATGTTTGCAAGCTGTGGGAGTGTATAAATAACTTGGAGTCAGTGGTAAACAGAAGGTAATTACTGGACCTTATTCATGTTACTCTCTGAGCAGTGATTGATTCTTGAATCTGTGATATTTTTTTCATATTTGCTTCATAATGCTTTAAAATTCCAAATAGCAACCACTTTGGAAAGCAATCCTTTATTCACTGACCTAGGGTCCAAGTCTAATGAACAGAGTAATTGACATAGTTTTTATGGTGTTCCTAGTAATCTGAGTTACTCTATTGAAGCAACAATGGAGATGCACAGGGATTGTCTGTTATGTCCTATTTTATTTTAGACTTTGCCTTGTTTAGCTTGGTCTAAGTTCAGTTTCTGGTAAAGGTCAGCTGGCGTCTAAATCCATGGAAGCAGTTGCAACAGGTTGGTCTAAAAAATGATTTTCATCTTGTCCATTTCTCATCTCTGCTGAATAGGATAACATGACTTGATGGGGGTTTGGGACCAAACACAGATGACAATGAACAGCACTAAATAATTAATGTGTTCAATATGCAGAAAGGCTTCAACTAGAAAGTCACACACCATGGCTGAGTTTAACTTTGTGTCAACAGAAGAACACACTGAATTTACAACAAATTGTTTAATTTTGAAGGCTTTTTTGTTTTGTTTTGTTTTTTCTTTTCTCTGATGGGTTGCTTGTACTTCATGTATGTACTGTAATGCACAACCATTGCTGTCACTCAGGGATTATGAAAAACTCTCTTTTTTTTGCAGATCATCCGGTGAATGAATTTTTGGATCTGTTCAATCGTCACGTGCTCCCCCATGCAATAGATGAGACCCACACTGATGCAGAGTCAGCTCAGACCGAACCCTGTACCTCAGACTCTGTGCAGGATTCGTCTGAATTTATAATATTGGATCCTTTCTTTACAAACTATATAGAGTTTGAGGAAGAGGAAGACTGTGAAAATACTACTGATGTTACAACTCCTCCAGCTTTGCAGTTCATCAATGGGAAGCACCAGGTTACCAATGCCCCTAAGAGCACAAAGGCTGAGGAAGCGAGAAGTGACCAAATTGAAAGCGTTGCACATTCCAAAAACGTAACCTTTGCTCAAATCAATGAAACAAACACATTTATAATATCTGAATCTGAAGCTTCTGGAACTATGCAACCAAGCAAAGCTGGAGAAGTGATGGGGGTGTTTGGAGTTACTCAGCCAACAGCAGATGTTGCAATGTTAGAGCCTGTCTATAGTGGCGAGTCAGAAGTTGTCACAACAGATAAATCAATAGCCATTACTTCTTCCCATAGGCAGTCTCTGCAAAACAATAAAGAGACCAAAACACGGCATGGAAATGAGGAGAACTCTACTAAGGGGACCAAAAACTTGCTTTTGGTTACTAGTGAATCTTCTGGAGATGACTCCACAGAGTCTGATCTATCCACTTCTGCCTTAGAAGTTGTGACAATGTCAAGAAAGGAAGATGATGAAAACAATTCCGGTGTAACTTCTGCTCCTGATGCATTTACTGTGGAAAGTTCCACTGTAACTGCTTCTCTGGATGCACTTTTTATTCCTGCAACTGCAGATGAAAGTGTGACTGACCCTATTCCAGAAGAGACACCCTCTGCTCTAGGAGATCATTATAAATCAACTGCTAAACTTAATGCAAATGCCCCCATCGAAAATATTCTGCAAACAAGTTCTACAGCAAAGCCTGAGACAAATGCTGCTTCTTTTATGGTTCTGGAAGGCTCTGGGGATGAAAAAGAGGGCATCACTGTAACAACAGGGGAAATAGCAGTAACAGAAACACTTTCAATGCAAGATATTTCTTTGGGCTCTGGCACGGTAATGCCAACAGAAATTTCTGTAACTGCCTCAGGAATCACCTCTGCTTTGAGTAGGACTTTTGATCAAAGTCCTGAAACACCTGTTGCCACCAACTCTGAGTTTATTACGGAAAACATAATTGCCAGCTCTCTTGTAACTGAAAAGAGTACTGATGATGAAAACGACATACAGACCACTGATTACTTAGGTCACCAAAATTCAGCTACTGCTACAGAGGGAAATTTGGAGCTGAACGAATCTGAGAGCACTACAAGTGAAGTCAGAACTGTAAGTCAGGAGCCCACCTTACCCAGTAAAACAGTACCAGGTACCATAAGTTCTGAAACCAAAAAGGTCACCTCTATTCCTTTCTTGAGAGAGAAGAAGCTTTTTATAAGTGAAGGATCAGCAGAAGAACCAGCAGACTTATTTTCAGGGGGTCCCACAAGAAAAGTGGTAAGTACCGACTCCCCATTTTTTGGTCCAGGTTCTGGAGACATAAACCTTATCATTCAGTCTACTTCGACTTCAGTTCCATTAAGGCCTGTCACTGAAACACACACTGAAAAACATGAAGGAAAAGTTTACAGCACAGATGATGCTTCCCTGAAGGATGCAAAAACAGAGTATGGGAAACATGCAAGAACAGGTGAATTTCCAGTAACAGTTTCAAGTACTGGGTCAGATGGCTTGACAGAGGGATCTGGAGCAGCAAATGAGGTGTCCCTGGATGTGTTTAGTACAAGAAACCCAGGGGAACAAAACATGAGAACAGAACCAACCTACACAGCTCCTTCTGACATAAGATCTAGTTCTGTAAAGGAGGTAATACCTCATACTGCACCAGGAATCAAAACTGAAGGTTCAGAATCAGGTGAAGTCACATCATCTCCAGAATCCGTGGTTCGTAACAGCCCTCATGACAGTATGATGACACATGGTATTGGCAATGTAAAAGCAGTAGCTGAATCTACAGAAAGCAAAAATGCAAGACTTGGTTCTTCCACTGTCTCACTGGGCAAGATTCTCCTAATTGAGCATGGCTCTGGAGAAGAATTCAAAAATGACAGCAGCACCACAAAACTGATGTTTAATGGACCTACTGAAGAAATACTTGGAGGTCATTTCTCACTCACTGATCAGGGGTCTGGAGAACCAGACACGTCTTTTAGATCATTTGCAAAAACAGAATTTTCACCTGCTGAGAACCCAGAAACATGGGAGAAGCATGACAGTCACAATGTTGTCAGCACATTATCTGTGAATCTTGCCTTCACCACCAACCCTGATGTGCCAGTCACAAGTCCTGAACATGAGGAAACCACCATGGAAACTGTGACTGACCTGAGAATGGAAGAGAAAACCAGTGGTGAATTGACTGTGAGAGCTTTTTCAACAAAGATTCCTTTGGTGGAAGATTCGTATTCTGGAGAAGACAGGCCAAGGGAAATTTCACCAAAAACTACGGAATCTTCTGAAGAAAAAGCAGCAACAGACACATTCTTTAAAAGTACACAGGCTACCCGTGAACATCTGGAATCTTCAAATACTCTGACTTTCAGTCCTTATTCAGAAGAAAAGGAGTTAGAAACCAAACCTGTTCAGAAAGTACTTTTGCCATTTAATGATGACAGAGTAACTGAGCCTGTAAGGATTGAAAGGAAATACATAAGCTCTCCAGTTACAGATATAGAACAAGAGAAGAAGTTGGTACTAAACATTTTCCCTACAAAAGATATTCCCAGAACATTGCTGACATCTCAGGAAGAAAAACGATCAAATAATGAGTATATTAGTAATCCATTATTTTCAGGACAGGGATCAGGAGACGACCTTGATGTAATTCCCTCTTTAGTTTCATTGGTTGTCAAAGGAATCAAGAGTACCTCAAGTCCTCCCACTTCTCATCCTGCAAACATGGGACTTGAACTTTCAACTGTCAAGACACAAGACTTTGAAAGAGGAAGTACCCAAGCAAATGCTGAAGTTAATGAAGAAGTTCCAAGTGCTGTGACTGAGCTGCTCTCAGAAACTGAAGACCAGTTCCCCACCTCTGTGTTCCTGAGTTCCCCGGCTTTAGCAGAAGCCAGCTCCAAGAGTTTCATCTCCAAACAGATGGAAGAGATGACCCATTATTTTGTGGCAACTGAAGGACCTCACAATTGGGAAACTAGTCATGGAACAGGAGAAAATGAAACAGATGGGACAACAGCTACTTCTAAAGCTGTTTCACGAGAGGAAACTTCACATTTTATGATTAAAGGTGGCGTAGCCCCTGCATCTGTCATACTGAATGGAACTCCCAGTCCTCAAGCAGAGGAATCTCTTGTAACATCAACAATAAAAGTGCCAGGCAGAGTATTACCTGAAAGCTCTGGAGAAGGATCTGGCTGGGTTGGTGTTTTGGATTCATCTTCTCCTGATATGTTTACTCATCTGTCAATACCCCCGGTATCAAAAGTAGAACTAAATGCTTCATCTAGTGCTCCTGGGCATATTTATTCCAAAGTTATGACCACAGAGGCACTGACAGATGGGTCACAGACTGTGATCACAGGACTAGCATCTCTTTTTACTGAAAAAACAGATATTGTGTCAAATCCATCTTCTGTTCATCCAAAGGCAGCTACATCAGAAGAACTAGCAAGTGATACTGGGATATATGAGAAAATTATTCCCATGGTTGATGACAAAAGAAGTGTTATATTGAACATTTCTGTTTATGGTGACATCACTCTAATTGAAGAGAGATTTCAAATCCCATCAGAAGACACAACAATTATAGACATGGATCACTCAAAATCAATGCCTGAAGATATAATAAGTGTGCACACAATGCCAAATCCTGTTACACAGTCAACCTATGGCGATGATGACGATAGCATGACAGCTGAAGGGGAAAAATATGATTCAACGCCCAGATTTTCCACAACCAAAGAGAAGACACTTGAATCTGGTGACAGTCTTTCTTTGACTACTTCCAGTCCACCAAGCGGAGAATCAGTAACAGCTGTTCACAGACCAAAGTCAGAAGACATGGGTTTGGCTTCAGGGAATGCCATGAATGTTGCAACAGAAACTCTCACGACTACTGAACTCTCTGAACTGGGTATTTTCCTTCCTACAGTACCATCTCTGGCAATCCCTCCGGTGCCCTATGAGTCGAAACAGATTGTAACCCCCACCACAGAAGACAGCTATGAGCCAAATACTTCAGCAAACAACAGAGTAATAACAGATCGAAGTGAAACAATCTCTATGTCTGGCTTTTCTGGAATGGGCCAAGAAGAACTGACTGATTATCAGCCTGTGATTCCTCCTCTTACTCCAGTTTTAGCTACGGAGCCAGAAAAGCCTATGACTACTGCCGTACTTGAGCTGAGTATTGTCACCACACAGCATGCATCCCAGCTGGTGACTGTATCACCCAGCAAAAATGCAAAAAATCACACCATGGTATATATAAACACAAAGTCAGCATCAGCAGAGTATGAGGAAACAGATTCTGAGAGTTTTCATTCTGTCCCTCAAACTCCTACATCCTCAGTAACTGTTCATTTAGTTAATGGAGTGTCTGAGTATCCTGAGGTAATTATTCCAAGTACTTCATCATCATCAACGAAGGATTCAGATGAGCCCAATCGTTCATCAGAAGGAGTCTTCAAGGAGGTTAGTTCTGATATTGCAGCAACTTATAAACCCCACACTACAGACCTTCTTGACACAACAGAGTCTTCTCTGCTAGAGCTTTCTCCTGAGTCTGTTCCAGAAAGCACAGCTATGGAAATTACTCCTCAGTTTGGCAGGCTGGTAACAGGCAGGACAGAGGAGACAGAAACCCCTGTCACTGATTTGCCTGTTGAGGAAGAATCTACAGTTTCTGGAGATTCTCCATCAACACATATCTTACCTACTGCTTTTCTGAATTTTGGAGAAGGAGTGAGCACAGACATCCCAAAAGTTAGCACAATAGAAATTGAAGCTTTCTCGGGGAGAGTGAATAATCCCCAACAAGAAGAAGACAGGAGTGCTAAGAGAGAGAACCCCTGGCTCGTTTCCACACCGGACTCACCGAACAGCATTGAAAGTGAAGGATATAAACGTGACCAGGGAGCAGTTACAATGCTGACTTCACCTTCCCAGCTTCTGGAAAGAAGCACAGAAACACAATCAGCTTTGTTTGGTCGAGGGGAGATCACAACAATTTCTTCTGACATTGCAACGCACAGCACTGTCCCTGGCAACCGTCCCTACCAAAATGAGCAGTCCACAATGAGCTCTGAGGAGCCAAACACTGTTGAAGTTGTAACCTCATCGTTTTCCCTTCCTGAAGTCACTAATGGATCAGATTTTGTGATTGGCACCAGTGTGGGTTCAGTTGAAGGCACAGCAGTACAAATCCCAGGTAACTCCCAAATATGATCACTGTGTTATGTGTGTTTACACCTGTGAAATGTTGCCTTAGCTCTGGTGAGAGGTATAACTACCAGAGCACCCTGTGAAATAACATCAGCCCTTGGGACCCTCCAGCTGTGAGATCAGCGTGGGTTTAACCCCTGCAGAGTGGAGGAGGATGGGGGTTCCCAAACTCCAGTCCAGTTGCTCTTCATGAGTGTTTGCATCGTGGAGCTCTGGATCAGACTTGAGGTAACCATCCAGTTCTAAAAGGCAGGACGGTAACACCGGCTGTTGTAGGGAATTCATCTGTAATTATTTAATTTTCCAATCTCAAGCAGATAATTTTGTCTGATAGTTCCTCTGTGTTAGCGTGATGATAGTACTCATACAATTGGTTTGTAGTAGGGTTGTTCTTAACATCTTGCAGTTGACTTAAAAAGAAACTCTTCTGCACATTTTAAGATCAGAATTTTCTATAAAAATGAGCACCTCCTAACCACACAAGAGAGAACCAAGACTTTGTTTTCAGCCCATGTGTACCTTTAACTGGTTGATAAAGTGTCTGCCTCTTAAAAATTACAGATCTTTTTATTAGAAATCACTTGCCACATAGATTTGTTTTCCGTGATAGTTATTAGGCACCATTTCAGCAAACACATGGATGATGCAGGTAGGCTTTCTATGAGTAGTGCCTCTTCAATCCAAATTTTTATACAGATACTGACTAAAGAACTGGCTTAATTTTATAGGGTTTTGTATTATTTTTCCTCAAACAATCCAGGTACCTGTCAACCTGAAAATGTTTACTGGGAAAATAACCATTCTGCAGTAGGACAAAGAGACAGCAAGCACACAATAAACACCATTAGGGTGCTCAACACAGCCCTACATTTGTGACATTCAGTGAAGCACTCCTAAAACAAACACCCTGTTCTATGGGTGGCATCAGATCCTTTTCAAAACCTCCAAGGTGAAATCTCTAATTAGTTACATTCCCTAACTTATGTATATAGGAGTTTTCTCACGAGGCTTTCAGCGGGACCTTCTGCATAGCTATGACTAGCAGGGAATTTGGTACTTTAAGAAGACTTTGAATGTCCAGTTTGCAAGGGTAAAAAAGATGTTATTTACCTTTTTTTTTTTTTTTTCATTGACCATAGTCAATTTTTTTTTTGTGGAAAACATAATCAGAAATCTTAATTTTTCTCATTTCTCTGGTTTACAGAACTCTCTTAACCATTTTGTAAATTTTCAAAGACAGGGCTTTATTTTTGTACCCCAGAAGGATTATCCTCAGGATTTCCCTCTAACTCTGAGAAGCTAACACTTATAAATGGTTTAGTGTGCACTTGTTTGTGTGAATGAGTGCTCCTAGGCATGAAATCAAATGCAAATACCTAGGTGTCTAAACTCGGTGGAAATAAACACCACTAGAAGGCCTAAAGATCTGCAAGGAAAAGCTATTTAAATGATAACTCCTGTAACAACTGAGGATTTCATGGCAGGTAAGCTTTTCTCTTAATGTTTAGTTCAGTTACAAGTGTATGCAGTATTTTTATTTGTGTTCTTCAAATGTATTTTTAAGAAAGACTTTGTGGGCATTGATTGATTAGATAAAAGAAAGTGAAACAACAGCAGCCAGTAGTATGTTCTGTGTACCCTGTCATTCTGCATAAACTAACCCCATTCAAAAGAAAAGCATTTTCCATTCATTTTGCATATGTTTAACTGTTTTCAGCTATAATTAATTGTCATGTCATGCACACTAAATCATTAGAGTATCATGACTGCCAAAGACAGTGCACATTGCTGTGAAAAAGCACAATTCTAAAAATAATTTGTATTGGTTCTTAGTAAATGCCATATTTTGTTGTTAAAGTTGAAACATGGTGATGCCTGAAGACAAGCTTTACTGTTTTACAAAACTGTATTTCCAGTGTTGATAGTTTCTGTAATTACAGTAAAGCACCATCAATGCAGCAATGAAGATTTTTCTTTTCTTTCAAAAAAATTGAAAATATACTATTTCCTTGAAACTGCAGGGTCAAATTAATTTTTTTACTTGTTTAACAGGCCAAGATCCCTGCAAGAGCAACCCCTGTCTCAACGGTGGCACCTGCTATCCTCGTGGTTCGTTCTACATCTGTACCTGTCTGCCAGGTTTCAGTGGAGAGCAGTGTGAATTAGGTAAGATGAAGCCTAAAAAAATTTTTCTTACATGAGATCTGCACAAGTGGTGAGTTTTGAAATTGAAGAATAAACAGACATTTGAAAAACTCTGCAGTGAGTCCCTAAGAGCAGTAAAATAGAGGAGGTGCACTCTTTTCCCTTCCCTATAAAGTGCACTGATGTGGGCACACAGAAAGGTTGAGAGAGCTGTGCAGGAACTAAAATTCAGAACACTGTGTTCAAAAAAACCCAAATAAAACAATACAAACACTAATATTTGGGATAGTTCTCTAAGAGCTTGGAGTAATTATTTGGAAGCCTGGTAAAATAAACTAATCCTAAAAGTGACTGGGAAGCTGAGTACTGAATGACAATCTGATATGTTTTCTCAGGAAATTGTAAATATTATGGTAATCATATGCATATTTGGTATAGGTTGGTATTTTTGTGACAGCTCTACCTGAGGACCTCTTCAAGCTGCCTGTAACATCTATGTGTACCTGCTGTGACTGTGGATGTCCAGATACTTACCTGTACAATGTAAAATAACCAGTTTTTCTTCCAGAAATCTAACCAAAATATGGTAAAAATGATAGGTTGGCTGTTTAGTGCAGAGATCATTTAGACTGTTGTAAAGTTGTAGGTTCCATTCCCTGATAAATACCAAGTTTTTTTCTGTGATACAGTTGCCTGCCAAATTCAGAACTAAAAAAAAAAACAAAAACAAACAAACAAACAAAAACCACACACACACAAAAAAATCATGGTAAAATTAGTTGAACTCGTTACAGCTTCGAGAAAAAAAAAATAAAAACAACTCCACTCAAAGGTTAAAGAAATCACTGCAGCATAGTTGTCAGGATTAATATGGTTTTATTTGTGTTCTGGAAGACAAATTTGTGGGTTTTTTGTGTGATTTAAAAAATAGTAATGTTTTTCTCTGCTTTCCTAGCTCATCCTCATGAGTTTGATAATTCACTAGTTCATCAGTGGCAGACATCATATTTTAGATACTGTATCTTAAATCTTACTCTGTCAAGGAATGTGGCATCCCCTGGTTGCAAAACAGAGGTCATAGATAATAATTATAAAATAATGATCTGTCCACTTCGTGTCCCCTAGCGCTTTTAGAGGCTTATTAAAAAATTGGAGTGGGACTCTCCACAGACCACTGCCATGTAGAAATATGTTTTGTGGTGCCTAAGAATGGAAATCTCAGCATTTTTAGCCCATATATTCAGGGATATTCTGGATATAAAGCCTAAAATGTTGTCTTGAGATCTTTCCAAATGACTGGAACAATAAGACCTAATAAAAAATTTGAACAGAATATATTTTAAAATAGAAATATTTTTAAAAAACCTTCCACATGATGCAACAGTTATTCCTAGTTGTTGATTTTTAGTTTGTAGATATGTCTAATTTCTGTCTTATATTTCAATGAGGGAATCACTACCAGCAATTCACTTTGGACTGAGATGTTTGCAAAATCTGTATTAAAGTTTAAGCTGTGGTTGTTTCAGAGAAACAGAACTCAGTAGAAAACATCATATAATCTTTGTAACAAGACAGACTAGTTTATAACCTGTACAAATACACACACAAAGTAATTATATTAAATGATCTAGTGCTCCAGTTTAAAAGGTGAAGACCAGGTGTTTTAGCCTTGGAATGGGGGACAGAAATTGTTACTTGTTTACTATGCAAGACCATGACTGCTACTGTCTGACTGATCATTTAGTGAGATTGCCTTTATGGTGTTTTGTCCTCATTTTGATAAGATTAGACAAAGAAGAAATGAGAAATGCAAACCAATAATGAGCCAGGGCCTGCTGCTTTGCAGGCTGAAATTAGCAGTGTGTTTCATGCTACATGATGAGATTTCCAGTATTTGAGTTTCATGAAGATATTTGAGATCTCCAGTGCTTAGTGAGAGTTTTTGTGCTGTGGTGACATACACAAGTCAAATTTTCCATCAGCACAGGAAAATGATGTATGGTGTCCCTTCCTTCACATCTGCACAGTGACCAGTTGGATCTTGCGCAGTGTTTTATTTTTCTGCGCTCAAACGATCCCAGTCACCAGTGTGACTAAGGCTGAAGAGCGTTTCCCTGCTGGGAGCTGGGTGGGTTGTAAAACCACTCTTTTCTTTTTGCTGCAGATGTTGATGAGTGCCAGTCCAACCCGTGCAGGAATGGAGCCACATGCATCGATGGCCTCAATACCTTCACCTGCCTGTGCCTGCCAAGCTACATAGGTGCACTCTGTGAGCAAGGTAAGGTGTGTTCTTCAGCTTGTGGTGATGGAGGTCATTTTTTCCACTCCAACATCCTTCTGGAGTAACTAGGCAGAGCCTCCTAGACTGACTGAGTTTCTGTCTTAAAAAATTACACACACTGTGAAAGACCTATCAGAACCCATCCCCTCCAATAATCATAGAATCATAGAATTAACTGGGTTGAAGAGACCTCCGAGTCTCTTCATCAAGAGATGAAGAGATCATCAAGTCCAACCCTTGATCCAACCCCACTGTGATTACCAGATCATGGCACTCAGTGCCACATCCAGCCTCGTCTTAAAAACCTCCAGGGACGGTGAATCCACTACCTCTCTGGGCACGCCTGATCACTCTCTCTGTAAAAAACCTCTTTCTAATATCCAACCTAAACCTCCCCTAAGAGAACTTAAGCGCATGCTGTCTTGTCCTACTGCTGATTGCCTGGGAGAAGAGACCGACCTCCACCTGGCTACAACCTTCTTTCAGGTAGTTGTAGAGAGTGATGAGGTCACTCCTGAGCCTCCTCTTCTCCAGACTAAACAACCCTAGTTCCCTCAACCTCTCCTCATAGGACTTGTGCTCAAGTCCCTTCACCAACCTGGTTACTCTTCTCTGGACCCGCTCCAGCACCTCAATGTCTTTCCTGAACTGAGGGGCCCAGAACTGAACACGATACTCAGTGATGCCAATAAGCATCAGTCATGTAGGAATAGTCTATTGAATATGTCAGATTATATACTCATCCACCGGGGGCCATAGATTTGACAACTTTATCCCAGAATTTTCAAAATTACCTGTTCTGTAATTATTTCAGCCAAAGTAGGTACAGGATTTATAATTACAAGTAAGTTGTAAGAGGCTTTCTAAACTGGGCAGCTGAAATAAGGATAAATACCCAAGTCTCTGTAATTGTTAGGAAGTTGCCTGCAAGAAATGCCACTGTATTTACAAGAAACATTTATAGTGCAAGATGCTTACTCAATATGTAGGAGGAGGACTAGAGTAGCAAAATCTGTTCCGTCAGTAAAATTAATGAAGGCATTTCCATGGGAGAAGAAATGGTGTATTAAAATGTACTTGCTACAGCTCATGAAAATATTTTTTTTCTTTTTCTTCAGCTGAATGCTTTTCGTCACAGGTAAATGAACTAAACCTCTGGATTTGTTTAACTAGTGTTGTGTATTTTCATGTTTGTTTCTCAGCTTCAGTGAAGAACGGTTTGCAAACTCTTCCAGCTCAACCTATAGAGATTTGTTTGTTAGAGCTGAAAAATCTCAGACCTGACCAGCACTTTTCAAGGTTTAACCTTTTTTAATAGTCTGGCTAACCTTGCAACTTCAGAGGGCTTTCTGAATCTTGTGTCCCAAATTAAAAATTGAAAGTGTTTTCACAACAAAAGAAATAAATGTTCTCACTCCCTTCCTCCTCTCCTTCATTCCAGCAAATCCGTAGCAGTGAGTGGCTCTGATACCATGGTAGCTTTAATCTCGTTTTTATGACCAACCTGAGAGTGCATTTCAGGTGGTTAATGGGAACATTTCCTAGTTTGTCAATCAGAACCAGAGCTGTGCTCTCTCAGCTTTGGAATTTAAATTTCCTCCACTTAAAATCCTGTAGTGGTTTGGGACTTGGGAGAAGGTTTTAATGCCAAATTTCCACTCCACCAGACAAAATAAAACTGTGCTGGCGATTCAGACATGGTTGTCTGGCAATCAGGCTTTATTTCAAGGCACCACTCCTGACCTCACTAGATTTAAAGACCAGCCAGGACGACTGAATGTGTTACCTTGGTGCCACAGAAAAGATCGAGCTCAGCACACTGAGATTGTATTTCATTGCTTTTTTTTTTCCCCCTCCAAATACACAATTCATTTTTAAAAACAACAACAACAACAACAAAATCAAGCTGAAGGGCTTTTTTAGGCACAGTGCTGAGCATTCAAAATGCCATGGGAGAATGGGGGAACAGAAACAGGGAGCATAGACTTCCTCTGGAAATGAGGCTCAAAAAGTAGGAGGTAATTCGATCACATCTGCACCCACTGCTGCAGAAAGAAATGCAGAGCTCAGAATTTCACCTATGAGACTGCTCAAGACTAAGGCATCTCCAGCTGAGGTGTTGTGCCTGTGTCAGCTCTTGGAGGGGATGTGACCAGGGGACATCACAGCTGCACATCAGGGAGCTTGGGATGGTAGGAGTGGGAGGAACCTTCTGGGAGTTCCAGTCTGGATGAGGGAAATCAGTCCTGAGACTCTGGGAGATGAACTGGCTCCCTGACACCGCTTTTTCTTGCCAGGTGGAAACAGTTCAGCAGTCTGAGCCCAGAAGCACCTTCCTGAAGAGAGCTAAAATTGTCTGATGTTAGAAATAGAGCAGCTGAAGTTCACTTTTAAACTAGGTTGTTAGCTCAGTCAGGTGGCATCACTTCTGGTTCAGGTGAGATCAAAAGTGAGTGGAGTACCTCTCTTAGACCCTGTGCTGCCCACCACTTATATTTTTTGAAAGTACAGATGCACAACACTTGGTGACATCTGAACATCACTTCTTAAAACCATAAATATTCCCAAATATATCTGTTTGTACAGGATGAGGCTCCTTGGGATAGTGCAACCAACTGTTCTCTTCCAGATTCTAAAGACAAGACAGCAGGGTAATTTGAATTATCATATCAGGAATAATGCTGGGTTTTTAATAACCCAAGTTTATCATTCCAATATCTGTGATTACTCCAGTCTTATTTAATTCCCTTTGTTCCCAGGACTTGGTAGCTGGGGATTGAAGTAGTCGAGAAGGGCTCAGTGCAAACACACATTCTGAAAACAGAGGGTCTGTTACTGATGTCTTTCAGCTGAGAAGGGATTATTTTGACAATTTACCAGTAAAATGGGTTTCTCCTCAAGAAATGTGGCCTAGTGGGTCTCTGGCATTTGCTCATTAGCTGAAGACAGAGAGTCATAGCTAAAATTCACAGCTGAGTAAGACTCTCATTATGTTCCACTACCTGTGTCAGTCTTTATTTTCTTTAAGACCCTTATGGTATTTCTTTAAAGACAGGGGACCTATTGTCCGCAGCTTACTGCAGCTATTGAAAAAGTAGTACTTATCTATGCATTAAACTGACAGACAACTCTTTTTTTAATATAGTGTTTAAAGATGTTGTCACATGTACAATTGCAGTTACAGAGAGAGGAAGCTGCGTAAGTAACTCCTGGCACACATCACCCAAACCCCCCTGTAAATTGCCATAAATCTTAACACTGGTGAGACACGTTTCAAAACACCATAAATATGAGTGTTTCAGTCTTTCCATCACTTTCTGGGATAAGGTTACAGAGATCTGTGATTGCCTCCCTGGCTGAATACACAATGAATGTGGAGTAAGTGCTTGCAGATACTCTGCTCACAGGTGACTGGGTCAGAAAATTTACAGCCACCTGCAATTAGGCTTTACTGGTTCAGTAAAGGCATTAGAAGTTTATACCTACATGGAACCCTTACGTCTGTGACACCCTTTCAGCTCTCTTCATCTGGTAAGTAAAGTGAGCTGAGGACAAAGAACTGCAAGGATGAAACAGTCCCCACATTTTTACTTGGCTGGTTTTGCATTTTTCATTCTCTGCCCTCCTGAATCTTTCTTTCCCTGCGCATTTTTCCCCTCTTCTCCTCAACCTCTACTCTCAAAAATAACAAAAAAAGCAACAACAACAACAAAAACCAACTTAACCACTCAAACAAAAAAAAAACCCAACCAACCAAAACCAACCAACTAACAAAAAACAATACAAAAACCCCCAACCACTCATCAACCTGAACAAAAAAACCCTCTTCTCACCCATGTAAGAACATTATGTATTTTATAGCCATCAGTCCTGTTTTTTTCTACTTTTCTAGATTTTTGGGCTACCAACAGGGGCAGAAGAAGTTATTCAACATTTCTCTTTTGGAAGACAGTGTAAGATTTTGGGTAGGAGGGAGGAGTTAGATGTGCACTGCAGTGCGTGTATTTAAACAAAGTCACTGTTTGACACTTTCTATCTTAAGAAGAGAAATTGTGTTATTTATGATTGATACTCAGGCCATCTTATTTTCTGAACACAGTCCTCTCAGTTTTTTGTTTTCAGGCCTCTTTGCCTCCTCTACCTGCCTCTCAGCGGATTTTCTCTCAAATCCTTCACTCTTTCCCTAGCAGAGGCCAGGGAGGGCTTGATTAGAATAACATGGAGATCCTCTCTGGCCATGTGTTTCTCAGCATGCCAAGCTCCTTGTTATTATCTGACTTATTTCCTGTGAGACAAAGGAGTCCCTGAACAAGATAAATAATAAAACCTGAAGTGCCTTCACAAAGGACATAGGACTGTTAGTCAGCCTCTGGACTGTTAGTGTGGTTAAAGAAATGTTCTAGAATGCCAAAGGCAGACTAAGTTATAAAATTACCTAGATAGCAGAGATTAAAGCAGTATCTACATCCTGCACCTCACATAGAATACAAAGAGGGAAAAGATAAAAAAACTCACAAATTGATAGTGTAGATTACATTCCTTTTTTCATAACTGGGATTATTCAAAGCACAAGCAGTTTTCTACAGTTCAACTTTCTGAAAATAGAAGGCAGATAACCAGTGTAAACTTTATTATGCCTTTGCATTTGTTGTATTTATGGCAGTACTCATGACTTTTGGGAAATTATTTTGGAACCAAATTCCTAAGACAATGGCTACTGTGTTACCAGTATCAAAGGAATTACAGTAAGCCTCTGATGTGACATGTTTGCACTTTTAAGTCCATTTATGTACATTTAAAGTCTAGTTTTTGTTATGAGGAATTTTAAATCTTTTTAATAAAAATAGACACTTTTCTACTTCAGGATGTGAACAGCCTCTTCCTGCTGTGAATTAAGAACCAGTCTTGGGTTGTGAAAAATTATTCTACAGTTGTAGTAGCAGCTCAAAGCTAAGTAATACCTTATTTAAGGCATTTTCAGTCACCTGTCCTTGGCATATTCCACAATAATTGGCTGTTTCGGTACTAATGCAAAAAGCACCCTTTTGGCCAAAGTTTGTTATTGGCCATTGACTATATTGACTTACTGAAAATAAGAAATCCAGTTTCATACACAGGACACCTCTCTACCTCTGGAAAGGCCAGAAAGTTGGTTTCAGACACAGTTTTGATTGATAAAACTTGGTGGGAAGTGGCAAATTCCTGGTGGGTGAGTGGGGTGTGGGAGGTCAGGCTTTGTGTTGCTGTTCTTCAACACCCTTCCACCAAGGCCCCTCAGGGTAAGATAGCTGTGGATGGAACAGGCTGTAATCTTGTGCTAAAGTGCCCTTTATGGTGCCATTTTGTTTGTCATAGCTCAAAACTGTGTTTTCCCTGTTGTTTCTCTCACTCCTCACTAAAACTTTCTCTTATCTGTGGCAAGCATAGCTCAGACACATTCAGACATCACATTTGTTTTGTCCGTCTTATTAATGCTGACTTTTTTTCTGCGATTCATTCAGCAAACTTGGAACTAAAACTGTGCAGTTGCCATGTACTCTGTTTACAGCTTCCTAACTTGAGAAAATAATTAACATCAAATCTACAGGTTGTTCCTGTTCCAAGGTTCAGTTTATTTCTCTTTAGATGGAAGAGCATAGTGGCTGCTGTGAACTTCTGTCTGTGATTTTTTCTTATCAGCACCATGCCTCAGAGAAGCACAGACAATGTACTATTTCATTACTTTGTATTTCAGTTTTACAACCTTCCCAAGAAGCTGATGCCTAAAGTTTATAAAGTTAGGCTTTATCAAGGAAGATGGGTTTTGGGGGAGCATTTGGAGGTGAAAGTTCAGAAAGACAGTATTGCATCTTTGCTTCTGTGGGATGAACAATTACAGTAATTGTCCTTCACATTATTTTAATTTATAATCTTCTTCCAAAGGTGATTCAGTACATTAACTCAAAGAACTGTTTGCCCTTGCAAGTAAAAATTCCCATCCACATAAACAGGCTCAGAAAACTCAGAAAAGGTGTACAATGAGATGTAGATGCAGTTCAACATCCAGGAGTTTCATTCATCCAGAGTGACAGATGACATTCTCCTGAGATGACCCAGACAGAGCCCAGTTCCATCAGTGGAAGCTCACAAAGTTTGCAGTTGCAGTTATAACCCCGTAGATATTTTTGCAGCTTTTACTGAAACTGGATAAACAGAAGCATCTGCAAATGAGGTCTCATGGATGAATGTTTGCTTTTTTACTACTTAAAAGGTGTGGGTTTTTTTTCTCAGATCTTTGCCCCACAGAAAATCTATCAGCTAGCACAAAACTTCCCTATGTTTCTTACCCACTGACAGAGAAGTGGTTTGTTTGTTTGCCACAGACACAGAGACCTGTGACTACGGCTGGCACAAGTTCCAGGGGCAGTGCTACAAGTACTTCGCGCACCGGCGCACATGGGACACAGCAGAACGGGAGTGTCGTCTCCAGGGGGCTCATCTGACCAGCATCCTGTCCCATGAGGAGCAGATCTTTGTCAATCGTATGTATCCCATCCGAGGGCTCCTCTGCCTCCAGCTTTGGCGGGGGTATAACAGTTTAGGAAGGATATAAAGACCTCATGGGAGTCTGCAGCTCCTCCAGAGGGGCAGCTCTCATCTCTGCTCTGTGTGAGCAGGGACAGGACACCAGGGAATGCCTGAAGTTGTGTCAGTGCAGGCTTAGACTGGATGTCAGGAAAAGGTTCTTCCCCTAGAGGGTGGTTGGGCACCTGGGAAGTGGTCACAGCACCAAGGCTGGCAGAGCTCTAGGAGTATTTGGATGACTCTCTCACACACACAGTGTGACTTTTAAGGATGGTCCTGTGCAGGGCCAGGACTGGATGATCCTTCTGGGTCCCTTCCCACTCAGGATATTCCATGACTCTGGTCACTGAGGGTTCAGAGCTGGTGACATACCCTCCTGACCACTTAGCTTTTACAACTCAGTCTTAAAACATACTTTTAGAATATTTAAAAGACACACTTTGTGTTCTTCGTGTTTAATTCTGCAGTCAAATACAAGTTCCCTGTCATTATTAAGTTATTATTTGTTACATAGAAAATACTTTTTGGGGGGAGAAGAAGACACTTTTTGATGGGAGGAAGAAGACAGGAACTTCTGTGTTGGCATTGGAAATTCTTGCAACATAATTTTTCTGGAAGCTTAAGATTTTTTTGTGCACATGATATCAATGCCCATACCATCATATCTTGTATTAGTTAGGCATGTAGAAATAGTCCCTCTATGTTGTGTTGCTCAATCTAGACAACACAGGTCACAGCCTCACCAAAACTTGAAAAATGTAGATTACAATACATGGTTTTATTATTTTAATATTTTATTCACCTTCTATTTTTCCCCTCCCCCTCATATGTGCTATGTGCTCAGGTAGAAAACTAATTCTGTTTCCTTTGGTAGACACCATCAGAAATGAAGAGACAGGGTTGTTTAAGACTGTTAATGAGAATCTGCATTTTCATAGACATCCCAAATTTAAAAAAAAACAAAAAGCAAAAAATTAAAAAAACAAAAAACAACCAAACTGATAAAGGGCCTGTAAAACAGTTGTTTGCATAACGAGTAGAAGAATCTTAAGAACAGGATGTCTAATTCATCCTATGTAAAATTATTTTCTTGGTGAAATCTCTTAAGGTTAATGAAAATATCCATCTGGTTCCTTAGGTATTGGGCATGACTACCAGTGGATTGGCCTCAATGACAAGATGTTTGAGCGTGATTTCCGCTGGACTGATGGTAGCCCACTGGTAAGATGCCTTTGAAATGAAATCACTCATCCATTTTTTTTCTGGTTGCTTATCAAATTCCCACCAACAATGAGAGAAGTTGTGCGCAGGAAAAAAAAAAAAAAAGCTGACACCAAATATGGACCTGAGCAAACAGCCAGTGAAATCACTTCAGAATAACTAATATTTTGTGGTTTAGTTCCAAAGTCTTGTTCTTACTTCCAATTTTTGTATGTGTGGGAAATCTCAAAGGTTTCAAAGACTAGTAATTTAAGGGTCTGTGGTGGAGCTAGTTTGGGCTCTTCTTGTCTTGCACAAGGACACACGTGGCAGCTTCTTAACCATCTGTATATGGAGCAGGATGCATTTTTTGGGTGAGGATCTGACATTCAAGCTGTTGCATTTGCTGGGTCTGTGGAGTGCAGAAAGGATCCTCCCAGGTATTGCTGGATCCTGTTCTGTGTAGCAGCTCTACAGCTGGGATGGAAAAATAGTCATTCTGAGGTGGTTCGGGGGATCTGCAACCAATAATTCACCCATAAAATTTTAGGATGCTGTTGTTACTTCTTGCTGCCTTAAGAAGGAAAATCAGGAGAAGGAGAATCAAAGAGCAGGATGCAGTTCTTTCCAACTCAAACCCATCTCTTTTGTAGAAGAGACAGGTGATTTATTGTTTTTTAGCATCCAGTGAAGAACATTACATTAAGGAAACCCCCCCCAAACTAGTTATGCTTTTTATTTTCTTTTCCAGCTGTGAATTCTGAAATCAGAAAGCATCTGGACATACATATGTGTTGCTGCAATTTATGTAGAAAGACACCTGAGGCAAAGCAGGCAAATTAAAATTAGAATTAGAACTGAGATCCTACTTTTTAATTCAGGCTACTGATCAAATGTGGTGTTATATTTTTACTGTAATTTTTAATTTTAGGAAATTAAGATATTCTAGGAACAGAACAAGACCATCTGTCCAACAGATTTCTGTTTTGATTGATCTTTTTTTTTCTCACTTTCTTTTTCTTTCATTTTTAACAACTTCCCTCTGTCTCTTCCTTCGGAAACAATTTAGTTGTCTCTTGAAATCATTTATGTTCACTGTTTCAATAGATTTCCCTCATAACTTATTCCATATGGTTTCTGGATCCCGTGCTGCTGAGCAGCTGCCTCATTTGTTCCTTTACCCTGGCTTTTAACTCATTTCTCATACTTTCTAACCACAGTTCTGGTTATAGTGATTTATAACCTCTCTAGTGATTAATAGAAATGATAACCCAATTAAATATATGCATCAAATGTATTTCATTGATGGTGTTCTAAAATGGCAAAGAATTTGAATACTATGTACGTAAAAAAATTGCCCCCTTTATATAGTTGCTTGTGAGCAGTATTCATGATAGTGTTAAATGCATTAGTGCAATTTGTGATCATAAGAGTCAGACTTATTACATCAACACTCAGGTTCTAACTTGAATTTCTGACTTTAGGGGTGGTTTTTCCCTATAGCGAAAGCCTAAATAGCTGTCATGTGTTTTACATATCAGGGTGCATCTGTAATCCAGCTGTTTCTAACTTTGTTTCTCAGCTCCATGTGCTCTCCAAAATATTCTTCTCTGTATGCAATGGTATTCAACACTTCTGGCACAGGGGAAAATTTGCCAATTCTGATGAGAGTCCCTGTGATATGAGTTTTCTTGGAGATGCTATCAGAAAAGAGGTTGGGCATCTATAAGTTCATGTGGTTTTGTCTTTATCTTGATACGACTTTGAATTTTCTCCAATAAGAGCTTGGTTTAATCTGCAGATCATGATTACACGATTTTATGAGGTTTTGGATTGAAAAAAAACCAAAACCCACACTGTTCTGATGCTTGGTAGACTTCAAAGAAAAAGCAAATTGACAACAACAGCAACAGCAGCAGCAGCAAGACATGTTGTGGATGGAACTGTTTGCCCAGTACTGTGATAAATTTTAGTGATTTCTCTTTCACATGAGTTCTCTTTCTTAAACAAAAAAAAAAGCCTCTGAATTGTGAATCCTTGAACCACAGGTGCCATTAGTGGCAGTTACGGAACAAGGTTTGCATCACTCATTTGCTACCCCTTTAGAAAATACTGGCTGTTAGCGATTCATCGAAACCAGCAGCAGTCAAAAAAGCCCCTCTACTTCAGTGCATGCTTTTGTGCATCAACTGGAATTATGCTGAACAAAAATAATGACAGAAAAAAAGTCTTGGAATAAACGAAGAGTAAGTCCTTGCTCTGATTCTCAGAATTCCACAAGGTAAATGTTGGTGTCTTGAATAACAAAGCAAGTACAATCATATTCATTGAGAAAGCAAGAAACAGTATTTAAAACTCCTCAGCCTACATGACTTTTGTCCATATCTGCATTGAGTCAATCTCTTTTCCATTTCAAAAAAAGTTTTAAGACAGGAAAAATTATCCTAACAAAATAAAAATGGGTCAACTCCCAAATCACAGTATTTAAGCTCCACTACTGCAGACAAAACCTGAAGAAGCTTTTAGATCAACTTCACTGAAGTGTCTGATGCATTATTATCTGTGTACTTTTAGGGTGTTTTGGCAGGTTTATTTCTTAATTGTAAAGTGGGTTTTTTTTAATTTTATTTTTTATTTAAGACTGCTTATCATTTACCTACCTTTCAGACAAAGTAGCATAACTTTGTGCAAGGGGCTGAGTGGTGTAGATAAAGTCTCACCACGTGCTGGTAAACCACATTTTTTCTATCCACTAAATCCCAAACACAGAATGGGCTTGAGAAGTGAAAAATTACATGAATAATGTAATTGTGTCATACCTCTCATGCCCTCAAGTTCAACTGTCAGTTCAGGTGGTACTTTTCCATAAAGAAGTTGCTTTCCAGGTAACTGATACATCATCATACTGGATTTTATTGGCCACACCAATCTGTTTATATTTGTCTTTTTTGCAGATTCGTTTAAAAAAAAATGAAATTGGGAACTTCTTTGTTAAGGTCAGAGCATATCCTTGAAGAACTTGGAGCTTAGCCGAGGCCTATAAGCAGAATAAAATAAGCCATAATTATACTAATCTCTGGGATCCATTGGCCACTCCCATGTATCTGATTTGTTCAGATTTGCTGTACTGTATCCCCATGGCAGGAAGCAATTTTGTCCCAACATGTTTCTCTGCTTTGTTGTTGTTGTTGTTTGTTTTGTTTTGTTTTGCTTTCTACTTAGGAAATAAGTAAGTTTTCAGTGTTTCTGATAGTTGGGAGAGGTGGATTCATGTTCTGGAGCTGATGAACCACTTTGGCAGCATAAATCATTCCCTTTTTGTTTGAGGGGAAAGAAGCTGATGGCAGCTGTGTTAGTACAACATAAAAAAGTGAATGTTCTTCCAGGAAATCTCAGGGATCCTCACACATGGAGCAAGTTCACTAAGAGCTGGAGATCAAGATCCACTGCCACAGTCATGGGCTTGGACTGGGAGCAGCAATCCAAGGTTGTGTGGAGCAGGAGGAAAGGAATTTGTTAGCTGAAAACTTTGGCATATCTGACCAGCTGAGTTCAGATAATTTGTCTCAGAGGTGAAGGCAGTGAGAGCAGGTACTGAAGTGTGTTCAGAGAACTAGCAGCATCCCAACATTTTTAGAGCTTTGCTATTCACTACTTGCTGAAAATCAGGCCAATTTCTGCTCAAGGCATTTCAGGTACGATTACATTGATAGATTGAAGAGGCAGAGAGAATTATATAGTATTTTTAAGAACATGTTTTGTTAGCTCTGCTTTCTTTCTGTTGGAGGGTAGTTACAGGGCTGTTCTGCTGGCACGTGGTGTGGGAGAAGCGTTAGTTTTCCTCTGATTTATATTGTGCACTGGAGTGAAAATGGCTAAATAGAGTCTTCATTTACATTTAGAAAACTACAGTATCAAAATTATTCTTGCACTTTCTTGTAGACTTTTCTTCCAGCATTTCTTGAATAGTGAACAACTCTTTAAAGATGTATCATGGGCAATCTTCATCCCACAATTATCATGGAAAGCACTAAGCAATAAAAACAAATTTGGGAAAAACAGAGAGATGCAGGAGAAGAAATCAAAATCTTAACAGTCACACAACTATGTGAAGAGAGGAATTTGTCCATGCTGCTTGTATCTTTTTATACTTTAAATTGATGCAGTACAAACTACAAAACACCAAAACTTACATTATCAGTGGAGACGTTTAATAATTGATCAAAGGGAGAGAGAACACAATGTGAAACTTGAAAAGATCCATGAGCAAAATTGAATTTAAATAGTTCACTTAGCCCTGTGAATAGCAACTTTTACAGCTGTAAAGCACACCCATCCAAACAGAAAAAAAAAAAAAAAAAAAAAAAAAATCTGGTGTTGCTTTTGGCAGCTTCCCCTTTGTATTTAGATGTCTGAGTTTTCCCTGCTAAGGACTCTTAGCAGGCACAGCAGAGAAGGAGTTATTCATGTTATGGATTAAGCACATAAGGCTACTTGGGGTGGTGCCTCACAAGGAGGGTTATTCACATCCCCTGGAAAATGCTGCTGATAATTAGAGCTTTGCAGAGTGGTGAGCTCACCCCCATTACATAAGATTAGCTGCAATAAGGAGCTGGCCAGTGTTTGTGGCCAGATTGTCTGTCACTGGGAGAGTGCTGCCAGCCAGGGAAGTAACGGGGCATACTGCCGCTTTTAAAGCTGCCTAGAGGCCCTGAGATGGTTTTCCTTTCCTTCATCACAGGAACACTTATGCTTTGTGTTCTGAAAAACTGGCGCTCAGGTTGTCAGTGTAAGGTAGTTATATTCAAAAAAAGAAAAATAAAGAAAAAGAAAAAAATTTAGTTTTGGTGAAAACAAACCCCTCTCTTTTCCTTCCCACACCGGCTGGTGAATCAGAAGGCTTTAACTTAAGAAAAAAAAAATCTGTAACTGCACCCCTCTCTCTGAAAGAGTAACTTCATTGAACACACACACATACACACACACACCCCTTCAAAAAGGCATGGAGTATTGTAGGGAAG